GCCACCCAAAAAAATGAAAAATTGATAAAAAAGGCATTTTGGGGCTTTTCAGTCGGTATTTCGTATCTCAGCCAAAATTCAAGCTTTAGGGCTAAAAATTTGAATTTATGCCTAAAAAAATGTCCTCTGCAAGATGGGCTAACTCCCATCTCGATCTGCGATATCGATTGAGCAGCTCTGGTCGTGGTTCTCGTGCAGTGACTCATAGATGGAGACAAAAGTCCTCCAGCAAATGATAATAACTAAGTTGTCTTTTGCACCAAACACAAACGAGAAGGGGTCGTTACTCACAATTAATGTCTGTCCAATAATATAGTGGCCGTGAATATTTTTGCAATAACTCAAGAATGGTAATAGCTAGAGAGCTACCGTTTTCACCGCTGCGTAGACAAATGTGTACTCTACAAAGACATGAATAAACTATAGAAAACTTTGCATTTTGAGTACTTCTTTATTATGAACCTTTGAAAGAGTCGGCTACAATTTTTTAAGCTTCCATAGAGAGACACACTTCTAAACCATACAACCGATAGTACAGAGGCTCCTCTACAAAATGACACAAAGCCGACCTTTCTAGAATTCACAGTGCTCAAATGGCATTCAATCTCCTGACGTCCGTTACACTCATTTTTTGACTATTAGCAATTTTAAAAATACACACAAATATATACGAAAAATAGGAGGGTGTGGGTGTGTGGGTGTGGGTGTGGGTGTGGGTATGGGTGGGTGTGGGTGTGGGTGTTGGTGGGTGTGAGTGTGGGTGTGGGTGTGGGTGGGTGTGGGTGTGGATATGGGTGGATGTGGGTGTAGGTGTGAGCTTGTGGGTATGGATGTTCATGATTCTTCTATTCATAACACAACTCACACATATCGACATCTACACCCACACCCACACCCTAGACAATTGAACATTTGGTTTAACTCCATTGAGCCATACTTTAAAGCACCTGCAATGCTTCATAGTGGTTATGAATATTCAGCTGGTAATTATACATTCAAAATTAAATGGTCAGCATTAAGTGATCAGCCACATGATTATAGACTTGAAACGTGTGGTGACTGCAAATGTGGCTGCACTCGTTGTAAGTGCTATTACAAAAAATTATCGTGTACACTGTTTTGTAAATGTGATCGAGATGTTTGTCTTAACCGAGTATGTATTTATTTTCATAAAGTAGCCGCTTTTAGTATTTTTTTAATTTTCTTTGATTTAGAACATATATGGTTCGTCATCTCAACAATTAAGAAAAGAAGGTTTAAGCAAGTTGAAATTAACAACAAGTACCGTTCAAGAAGATAATGAATATGATGAAATATCGATCGTCTCCCAATGCAGCAACATCAACAATACAGTTAGTAGCTGGTTCTTCTTGTTCGATGGTTTTAAAAATCTCTGTTTTTTATATTAAATAGAATGCTGCTGAAATTGAGTTTGACACGGTTTCAAATCAATCATACATAGATTCTCAGATTGAATATGAAAATGATGATGTATTGCAGCCAGTCAAACGTCCTTCATTCTCAAGTACAACACATGATCATACATACTGCTCCAAGAACGATGTTGAATTAGTAGCATCCAAACGTCGAAGACTATCATCAACATCTTCAGTACCACTATTCTTCAGCTCATCACCTGTTTTTCATTTATTTCTTTTCAGATTTGTACTGACAGTCAACTCATGCTTGAATCACCACGTGCACATTCTTCTCCAAAAAGCGATAGAACGATAAATACTGCTACATCATCAAGTTTTGTAAGTTGATCTCGTATCTTCGATCATATAATGCAAATTTATTTTTCTAGAGAACACCATTAGCACCAACAACTTCAACACCTCGTCAATATGCTCATTTTCGAAAATTCTTTGGGAAGAGAAAGACTCATAGTCAACCTAATATAACATGTGTTTTTTTTTCTTATATAATTTATCTCTATTTGTCGTCAATCCAATGTTTTTCATTTTAAAAATGTCCTCAATTTCTGTTTTTTTGATTGTATTTTGTGTTTTCTTTTTTTAAGAATCTTGTTACATATTTTCTTCTGAATTGTAAACTATGCTCCATTTTCTTCATCAATAGTACCATGTGTTTTATTTTCTTCGTCAGTTATCTCATTTATATGATTGTTCTCTATTATTTATAAAATTATTTATAATCTTTTATATGTTTTCTATAAAATATAATTTTCTTATTCTGAATAAATAAATTTTTGGATTCGAAAAACTCTTCATTTTCTTACGGGGCTATTCATTGTCATCTATTAACTTCTTATCCAACAGAATATTATATTTCAATGAATTGATATTTAATAGAACTGAGGAAGACAGTTGACAATTGATGCAAAAGCTTTTAATGGAGCAGTATTCTCAACCAATCACGTCAGCAATATAATTGTGGCACCATCTATTATTTTTATACTAGACAGCCACTTTTTCATGAAAAACCAAGAGCACAGTTCGACACAGAAAAATTTTCTCTAAAAACTGAGATGCGACTGATATCTAGTTCCTCTCGAAAACGTAAAGCACCAATCCGTGAATACTTGTTATTTATTTACTTTTCTCATTGTGTTTTCTCGGGTAAGAGTCCGTACCACTAGTACAGAAAATAATTGACACTACTTGACAGCGACATGTGTGCACAACGTACATTGTGAAAGCGTGCAATAACAAGAAAAATATCACAAAGAAACTTGCATTTTGATAAAAAAAAAAAAAAGAAAAGTGATATCACACCATAAACACAAATAAAATCGAGCAAGTCATGGAATATTCGAATTCTTTTGAAGGTAATAATGAAACGGAAAAAGTTTGTACCACCGAAAACAATTGGGTCAAAGAGATTCCGATTCCAGCTTATCTAAAAAAATCGAAATATGGACTCAACAAATACATAGCACTATTCTTCTTTCTTGGTCCTCATCATCTAATTGGCATCAGTTTCTTCGCTGCACTTTTCCTGCCGAAGATCATAATCATTATCGTATCATGTATCTTTTTCATTTATCCTCTTATGAAGCAGATATTACGCTACTACAAGTGGCTGCCCACTCCTCATTCAACAGAAATCATTCGCACAATGTACAGTGCACATTGCGATGGAGATTTCGTCGTTTTTCTTATTGGTGCTCGTCCTAATGGAGCAAATCCTTTCACGAAATCTTTTTTTGAAATTGGAAATGCATTTAGAAGCATGGTAGAAGAATTGGAGTCGGATCCAACATTAGGCTACATGGGAGGCGACTTCTATGTTGGAGCAAATGAACGTAAAAGCACATCATTACATGTGCAGTATTGGCGCAATTATGAGTCACTTCAAAAATGGACCCACACAAAAATGGGTCTTCATTTCAAAACAATGATGGAATATATGAAGACAGATCGTATTGAAGGTGTTAATGGAATATGGCATGAAACATACAAAGTGAGAGATGGTGAATATGAAGCCATCTATGGAAATATGCCACCTATCGGTCTCGCTTTGGCAACATCAGCCATGCCTGAAACAAAGATAAATAATGGACAAGGAAGAATGAAACGACCAAGCAAGAAGCAGCAAGCATAGACCACTATGCGCAAGAGAGTAGTAAAGACTAGATTTATGTGCTGAACGAAAATATTTTGAATAAAGTATTTCGTTTCTTTTAGTTTATATAATATATTCAAAATAAATACATCTGTTCTCATTGAGAGCTTAGCTGCTAATGAAGAGACCATTCATATTCTCGCTCTATATGTGTTTGATAGAATATATATTGAAGCTAATATTTAGCAATTTTCATTAAATTTTCAGTCGTACACCCACACCCCAAAATTGCTAAATTTTTATTGAGAAAATATTCGTTTCAACGATCATCGCATCTAATTAACGTGGTAGGTTTTCAACATATCATACATGAAGAGATCTTTCTGAAATAAGAACATCTTTTGTAAAAGCTCGTTTTTCATTAGGTAATACTTCGCTTTGTTTGTGCACTTTCTTCTAGAAATGTTGACGTTTTTATCATGCACGATCTCATTGATAATTGGAAAAAATATATTTCTGAGAACATACAGTGAGATGTGTCTTATAAAATTTCTTTCATATGTCTGAAAATGTATCTCTTTTTGCACGAAGATATCAAGATCTTCGTAGACAACTATATTTATTTAAATTAACTAGAAACTAATAATTAAACTGGTGATAAATTTCATCTTGAATTAGTTCTATTTATACGAGTCAGTCCTCAAAATAAGGAACTAACTGAAATAACTTTGACATGAAATAAAGGTTAATTTTCTTCCGTTAAGTTATTTATACATCAGAGTAAAAGCCTTTCTCTCATTGTTTCTATGCTATTATATTTTGCATCAAATTTATGATCAAATAAAGATATGACACAAGAGCTTTATTTCAGTGTGATTTATATCATATTGAAATAAAACATTTATGTCATATCTTTACTCGACAATAAATTTAATGCATAGTGTTATAGTAAAAATAAAGCAGCGAAGAGATTTCTATTCGAGATTTTAGTTATATAGAACATAGGTGTCATCAGTGATAGATCGTATTGTTTAGAAAAAAACAGTCCTATTATAAATTACACTAAAATTTAAAGATATGTTGCCTATATTATTTCAAGAATACTCTTCTAATCAATAATTGTTTTCTCTTTTTTGTATTAGAATATTATTCGCTTCTTTTTCATTGATGAGTAAGTGGTTTACTAACGGTATATAGAACAAAAAAAGTGTTGAAATTAGAATCTTTCCTTGAGATCATCAAGAAATTTGAGTCTTTAACGGGACATCCTACAAGACTCCTCTTGTGACTTATGAATGATAAGACAGAATAAAAGATCCCGGATCTTCTAATGTGTCGAGCACTCTTTTGTGGAAAAGAAACGATTCTTAAATCGTTCGTGATGTAAAATTGTCTCCATCGAACGCTATAAATGGAAATTTGTAGAGAATCTCTTAAAGGCAGTGTAAGAGTATTCACTCTGCTCGACTTTCATATTCTGAATCCTACAATCGATAGTATATGACATATCATTGTGAAAAATAATAAACAATTATTTTTCACGGGGTGTGGGTGTGGGTGTGGGTGTGGGTGTGGGTGTGGGTGGGTGTGGGTGGGTGTGAGTGTGTGTGGGTTTGTGGGTGTGGGGTGTGGGAGTGGGAGGGTGTGCGTTTGACTTTGTATATTGTTGAGCTCGAGACTAATACC